AGTGTTTTTAGCGTGAGTCAATGCGAAGCGACGCGATGGTGTGGTAAAAGTGATGTTTGAGAGGCTAGTCGAAAGTTAACTTTTGAAGTACATTGGTTTTGATTTTGGTGCGTTGCAAATAGTCATTTCTTTTCACCTTTATTGTTTGATTTACCTTTTTATCTTTATTACCTTGAAGTCGATGTTTTAAAGAGAGATATTACTATTAGAATTAGTATCGGAATTATTATTAGAATTAATGTTAGAATTATTATTAGAAATACTATTAGGATTACTATTAGAATTATTGTTAGAATTGATACTAGAATTATTATTAGAATTACTATTACTAATTCAAATGTTGCAATAGATAAAGTATAACAAGCGGTACCAGTGTGTCTATTCTTAGCTACTGAGACTGAATAAACCAAATTATATATCAATTTTAAAATAAATATATAAGGAAACTGAAAAAACAACTATTGTCACAATTTTCATAAGAATCATATATTGATCAAATTAAACCGTTGGTTGTCCTAGTGTTAAATTACTTCTTGGTAGAAATAGGTATACAGGGTATTAATGTTAACTCAAGCACAGTACATGTTAATACAAAAAGAATATACCAACATTTTTTGTTATCACCATCAAATATACGCTTCAAAACCATATGTAGCTTCTTCTTGCTCTGAACAATAGCGGAAATAATTTAGGTGTTCGAGTTAAAATTAATAGCTGATATATCGAAGAGCGGTATTTACTATATTTATAGCGTTCAATTATAAACTTTGACCGGCTTTCCGTCAAACGGCACCAATGCCCGACGCGACGGTGAAACGTGCAATACCATGTCCGACGACCGTACATTAACCGGGCCTGTTCTTGCCTTGCCGGAACGTTATAGTAGGTCGCGGCATTAAATTTCGGACGATGATTTGTGCGCGAAATTGGTCGCGGTGCAGGCGAGCTTCGCGCGCAATTGCCACACGCTCGCGTCGCGACAATGAAATATGCAATACGTAAAGGGAAGTGTTTTATGACCGAACGGCACCGGGGCCCTTGCGTTCGAAGATCGTCAATTTTTATGGAAGTCCCGAGCCGTTGTCCTTGGAAGTCTACAGGATAATCACTAATACAATTTCCCTTTTGCTTTTCTCTCATCTTCCTTCTTCTTCCTCGGTTTCTTTTTGGAAACTTTCAATGATTGATTTACATGATTGCTGGCCCGTTAATAGGCGAAGCTGTTTATTTATATGAATATGTTCTGTTGATAATCTCGTGGTATTCATATAGCCGGAGATTCTTAATAACGAGATTGAGATAGAAAAAGTATGTACATGAAATGAAAACTTGTTGAAGATATAGTAACCTGGACATTTTTAGCAAAATTTTCACTTAAAGTTTTATTTATGAAGTATTTATAAATAATACTTTAGAAGAAAGTTCGAGGTAACGTGAGATAATAATTTCTGTTGTGCATTTTATGGTTGAATTGGATTTTTGATAATACATGTTGCACCGTGTGAACATTTCTTTTTCTCCGAGATTAATATGTGTTTACAAGGACCATTCAATAAAGTGATATTATTTTAATTTGATTCATTCAGTGAGTCTAGATTTATCTGGTGTTCAACGTAAGCCCCTAAATTTTTTATTATGTACTTAAACTATCGTCCTTATGCTGGCTTTTTTATATTTACAATAAAGAAATCTTACAAAAAGAATATCAATATAACTAGTACCAATGTCTTATATATTTTATTTTCAAATAAATTTTTAAGTATCTTACTAATTTTTATGTAAATATATCAAATGTTTATGTAATTTTATGATAACTGTTTAAAATTGAGGCTGATTTATGATTTTGGAAATATGGTAATTATATTGAAAGAGGCTCACAGCAATAAACAATTAAGAAGACAAGAATGCGACATATACAGCCAAAAGCAATTAACAAGATGCACATTATGTGAGGCGTCTGCATAAAATTACCCGTGAACCGATAATCATTCTAAAATAGACGAGCGTCGCCCACTTTTGGTAATGGAGGTCTTAAGTGCAGAGTGAAATAAGGGTCCGTGAAACTGATTTACCACTTTTATGAAATACTCATCACTTCCGCGACCACATACCACAGAATATACGTAAAAATTACAGCTTTCTTTTTGCGTTCGGCAATCTATTTAACCGGTTTATTCTATGCAAATATATCATTTATTATATTATTATCATAGTTATATTATAGTATCATCATTTAATTTCGTCACTCATTCGTGACCACGATTTTTCATTTTTACTGCAAAATGATACGAAGATTTGACTGAAAACTCGTTTATACATTAAACTAGGAACTACAAGTAAACTGTGGATTTTTATACAAACTCAAATTTTTAACAATATAATTAAGAAAATAACGTTACTACAGAAAACAGTTTTTCCTACAAAACATTCTAAAAAGCCTTACACTTCGTATATATAAATATTTTTTCCATATTGTATACATTCTGCACAATTCTACAACTTTAAATTTCCCATAAATACATCAAAATAATATTTAATAATGAATACCTTACAATTTGTCCAAACATTTACACAACTCAGAACAGTGAAAAATCAAAGGTACCTATAAAAAGACCATATTGTCAGACACGTTGGTGAAAAGCAATATACTCAATGAACAGTTAATTGTTATACTTTCGAAATTATTATTAGCAAGAGAAATCGACTTGCGTATTTTTAAAGCCACGTAACCAAAGAATTACTTTATAATCGGGACTTATACGGGACATAGGGAAAATGTCCCGTTGCATTGTTCCAGGCATGATGCAACACGACTGTCAGGATATTCGTATGTGAAGTTGTTTTCGTCTTTTTGCGCGCGACCTAGTAACAACGTACAGAAATTTCGTACACCCACGCTTGGGCCTTTTCTGGCAATAGAAAACAAGGATATAAAAGGTGGGCAGGAAATGTGGGCGAACTCGTGTTGGAAGCGCGTTCTCGTTCCTCTGTATCCTTAACAATAATTTTATGGTAGATAAAAGTGCTTTCGCGGTTTTTATGCTCCCTGGGCATTCCTTAGAAGGATAAAAGCACACTCTACAACTCTGTTTAAGAATGGGCTTTCAAGTATAAAAGATTAAATAAAAATACTCTCCACAATATTTCTTTTATCCCTTAAAACGCGAAGTTACTTAAAGCAAAGGAATGAACGCTTAACTGCATCGAGTGCAGAAATCAAACCATAATTGTTTTGATTATTTATATTTTATAAATATCGATACATTAATACCTTAACACTTAAACTACCGAGCAGTTGAATTAGCTTTTTAAAATTCCTCCAATGAAACTTCAACAGTGTATCTATTGAGACCTTAATTGATTTACAATTTAGTTTGCGTATTGCTAAATTAATTTTTTTACACATTTCTGAGAGAAACATCTGTTATCTTCTTAATGATTCAACAACAGAGAAATTAGGATCATTTTGACACGTCTGGTAGTTTTAGTGTTAATATATCTTAAAGATGATTTCAGTTTTAGGAATGGTTCGAAAAGTAGCTGGAACTTCTTATGAATTAATATTAAAACCTGTTAAGATGCAACACGGTTTGGGAGGTTTTAAAAATGGAATTTAAACCTATTATGGGTATGTGACTTTTCTTTAACAAGGTTTGTATAATGATTTACATAATCTTGATCTTGACATATATTGTTAAGACCATTGTTCTGTACACCCTGGACTTTAAACTTTTTGACGGTGAGTATGGGTTCAAAACTTACAAAGCCATAAAGTTTCGCGTTACGCTGGAAATTTTCATCTTCATTTTCATTTCCTGAAGTTGTTCCTTATAATGTGTGTACCAGAATTTCATTTAGATAATAGAGATTGGTACTAGCAGGGCCGGTTTCTCTGGAGGATGCGCTCACACCTCGGAAAAACCAGCTCCACGAATACCAATCTCTATTACCTAAATGAATTTCGAGTACACATATTACAAGGAACAACTTCAATAAGTGAAAATGAAGATGGAAATTTCTAGCGCAGTGCGAGACTTTAATGCTTCATAACCTTTGAACGAATGTTCACTGCTGAATAGTTTAAAGTCCTGGGCTTACAACATAATAGCCTTAACAATATATGTTAAAATAAAGGTCACATGAGGATTGGTATTTTTGTAAATAAGTACAAAAACTGTCTATCCTCGGAAACATTTTTGCGAATATCTAGAAAACTAAGAACGGCAGTAAAATATATAGGAAAAAGTTCAGAATCAAGTCTCCCACGACATACCTCAAGATCATCCAAATCAATGAGAAATCAGTGTTGTAAATAATTACCAAAAATGTTTTTCGTCCCAGGACAATAACATGATATTTAGAACGAGCGTCCATTTTTTACCTATAAAGGTTAATGATAAAAATTGGCTGATTTTACAATACAGATTTATCAATACAAATTTGTTAAATCTCACATGCATAATTATTTACCTAGAAGATGGTGTGAAAGTTATCAAAAATATTCATAAACGTTCAAACGGTTGTCCTTAATACAACTCGAAAATGAATTCATTATCTTCTTAAAATTAAAATTATTAACACGTTGGATGCCATGGGGATCACCAGTAACCTCAACAAAATCGAATTACTATAATTCATTCCATTAAACAATGATTATTTGAAAACTTTTCTATATTACAAGTAATACCACCTAATGCAGTGACGTTCGGCAAGATAAACCTATAATAATAATAACATAATTCAATTACATAAGTTGATGCTACATTAGTTCCATTTTGTATATTTTTGTCGGCAAAATCATGCGGCACTCAACGTGTTAAGTGAAATAAATAATTCTATAGTATATAACGCGTTATAGAAATTCGTGTTGCACGCGAGTCTCTCTATAAACCTAGCGACAAACTATTACCAACGTGTGACGAATCAATCTTCCGCTCGAAAAGAATATTGTCAAAAATATTCCCCGCGGGTAACAAGAAAGAAACTTGATCGAGACTTACTAAAACATCCTGCAGCAGTTCGTGCTCGTCGAGAAGTATCACCTTGCAGTGCAGAAGACGGGGCCTACGGCTTCCGGCCGGCCGAAGTCCAGGACAGAGCCACTCTACCACCATCTCTTCCTTCAGCAGCCCTCGTTTCCCTTGTGATTCCTTCCTAGTTCTACTCGTTCATCCGCTCATCGGTTTCGGTCATCCTGAAAGATGAGGACGACGCTGTAATCCGATCAAAACTGTCAACGCGCTGCGCTGGTATGTAGGTGCCTATGTGCATGCCGGCACATCAACACGCCCCTACAAAGGGAAGATTAAAGCTGCGGTACGGTTAACTCTTACACTCTTCGGAACAGCCATTTCATTTCGCCGCGAGGAGCAGACGAATCTCTCGTTATAAACGTCTATTTGTTAACATCGCTGCCCGTTTCAAACGCTTTAATGCATACTTCCATTGAGCGTTTTCTTTCTATGGCACTTGCATTTTTCAGAGGACTGGTTTTATTTAATTCGGAAATCTGATTTCCTTTGTTGTATAACGTTGCGAAAAGCTTTGTGAAGCTGTAGAATTAATTGACACGAATATACTGATTAATAAAATTTCTTTTCGAAGGAATTGTAACAAATTTTAGATAATATACTCGATAACTTTATATGTAGAACGTTTCATTTGTCGCACAAAATTATAGAAGGATTTGTGAAACTAAGATGTGTCATGAGTATAGCTTAATACAAACAATTACTGTGAATATATTCATTAACAAAATTTTTTATTGTAGGAGATATAATAAATTTTGTATAGTACACTCGATAACTTTGCATATAGAACATTTCAGAATTATATCTTTCCATTTAACTCAAGTTTTCCAGTAAACAAATGCAACAAACGTTATTTTTCCGAACTCTATTACATTTCAACTAATAAATGAATTATCTTCCATGAACTCTCCAAAACTTTGTAGATTTCAACACATAATATTCCTTAGTTTATCATAAAAAAGGAGCCACGTATGCAGCAGACAGAAATCGATTGTCCCTCGAGCGAGTTACTCGAACGTTGAAGGAAACAAAGCTAGAACGGAGCAGAGTTTTTCGAATTCAACTGGAACGTTTATAAGTTTAACGAAACCAATTACCTCTTTCTTCTCGAATGGTACACAAAAGTACCACGAACATTTTAAATTACCGGAAAGCAAGAAACGCCTTAAAGATAAAAGAAGATTGTACTACAATCTTTGCTTATGGCAAAAAACTTAAGTGCTAATTATTATTATTATTAGTGCTTATTTTATTTCTTTTGCTGAGAAGCTTCAACTTCACTTGAAAGTTGATCTTGGCTTTCCCTTTAATTCAGGGGAAAAATACATATTTAGGGACGAAAAGGATAAAACGATTGTGTACAATAACTGGACAAATGACCGAATTAAATAATGGGATTGAACGGAAACACGGGTCCGCGGGGCAAATAGAATAATGAATCATTGATGAGTCGCGGAGCCGTCGACGCGACGGATTAACGATTCGATCGGAAAGTTAGCCGAAAAGAAGACTGGTTCGTTAATCAGTCAGCGAGCGGAGAGGATCTGGGTTCGATCCGATCGTTAATCAGACGGATATCTATCGTCTCCTCCACGAGATCCGCGAACGGGACACGTTTGTGTCGACTAATAGAGTCGACTCTCTATAAGAAGAGGAACAGCAAGAAGAAGAAAAGTGGCGGACGGTCGTGAAGGTAGGAAAGGAGGACACGAAACGAAGGCGAATTATCTAGATCTCGTCGACTGTCGTCGACGAAGACGTATAGAAGAATGGGACGATTGGCTTCGCTCGAGCAATTGATTTCGTGATTTATGATACGCGATCTGAACGAGCGGACTCCCGGCTGCTTTTTAATCGTAACCCAATTCACGAGCGAACTTCGAAATCAATTAGGTTGCTCTGCTTTTGTTTTTAGATCACAGACCGAACACATTTGTTCCGGGAATTCATAAAAGATTAGTTGCATTCGTTCCGCGAATTTGTAAAAACTTATTTACATTTGTTCCGTGGATTTATAAGAAATTACTTGCATTCGTTCCACGAATTTATAAAAAATTAATTACATTTGCTCCATGAATTTATAAGAAATTACTTGCAAAAGATAAACGTGTTCCGACTCTTTTATTCGTGTAGATAGATTTAGATTGCACTGTCGTGTAAATGTTGCTATGAACTAGATATATTTAGATTTTCTTTTAATTTGATTTGATTTATTTGAATATACTACTGCATGTACTCATATCCTAATCCTATTATTATACTTACTTCTTCGAAACAATCTTAAAAATAGTTTTAATAATGAGAATAGCGAACTCAGTGATGAAGAGTATGCTGTCAGTGGGTGATCAACGAGAGTAGCTGATGTGGAAGATTATTTCTTATGTAAAAAATAAACAAGAAATCTTCCCACATAAGTGATTGATTGATTAGTTAGGTGCATTGGTCTGAAAAAGAGTCGAAATCGTGATTGAACCATTCGTGACAAATTACACACCAGTGGAATGATCATGAATTTCTATTACGAATTAGTAGTGAAAAATTATCTTATTTCTCTAGTTAGTAGTAAAACTCAAAGATATACAACAATTAAAACTGTAATTCATAATTAAAATAACTAAGAATTAATATCATTAAGAATTACACGTATTGATTTTAAATTAACACTCCAACAAAATTCAATTTAAAAGCCACAACCAAAATCATCAGGATAAAAAAAATGAACAGTAATGGTGAAAGTGATCATTTCGAATCTTAATTCCTGGGAACAATCGTTAACCCTTCACCATACGATGACGAGTGAATCTCGAGCTGAAGATTTCTAGATTAATTCACTAAAAATCAATATTATTCATTATCCACGGATCAAAGCAGAAAACTATTTTTCTATTTTCAATTTGATATCTTCAGAATAAATTTGCACCTACAGTGTAATGGCAAATTTGTTCGCGTTTCTTCCAAATAGTTGATAGTAAAATGTTACAGAGTCTTAGCAGCCAAAGTAAGTAATACCTTATGTGAAAACGTAATACCTCGTCAAACGCAGACCAAATGTACACGATATATTCTAAGGAAAAGCTAAAACAAAACGGAGAAGAATTACAAGTTCGTCTGAAAAAATAAACAATTTATCGTTGAAAGAATTAGTTTTAATTTTAAGATGACGTGTATAATCGTCGAATGCAATTAACTGGTTAAAAAATGCTAATCTTAAATGGATGAACAGATAAATGATTTCAGATAAGAGGGATGCTACAACAGATCCGATGAGGTAGCAAAATTACTTGCACCCGCTCGAGAACAAAACAATTAACAGAGATGTCGAGCCCGTTAATAACGAAGCAATGTTTCTTCGAGTGTTGATAGAATTACTAATGCGTGGTGGCAACGGAACAAAATTAAGATGTATGCGCTAAACCCGACCAATTATCCCCGTAAATTTCTACCGTTTACAAGCTTCGAAATTCCACGGGCCATCGACACGTTTGTTTCAAGCGTATCAGGGCAAATTTATGCACGCCCCTATCCGCGCATAATTGCCGCACTATGAGCATTATTTACATAACGAGTTTCAGGGAACAGACGCAATCGACACCGCGAAATCTGCGTAGGGTGTTCGCTTAATTCGCTCTTTAGGGCGCAGCGGGTTCGAATGAACGAGCTGGATGGAAGGGAACGAAGATTAACACAACTGTACGCGACGTGACGAGTAAGTAACTTACAAACTGGAGGTGAGTGAGTCTCAATATTTTGGGTTTTCATCGAAACGAGAAATGAGCTCGTCAGTCAATCTGGTTAACTCCACAAAATAAGAAACAGAGAAGAGTAATGGAATAGTATACATTGATTTATCAAATTTCTGTTTAACACTAAAACTACCGATCGCGTTTTGAAATTTCTCTATAGGAAATCCGATAGTGCGTCTATATATAGATTTGATTTACAATTCAGTTTGCGTATTGATAAAGAATTTCTCAGAGGAACGTCTGTTATCTCTTTAATTATGGACTATTTCACGGAGCAAAATACATAAAATGAGAAAAGATCACGAATTATTTTTCGTGAGTATCAAAAAATGTATGTAGTATAAAATTAACCAATATCAACCTGTCAATACAAATGAAAAATGTGTTCAATAGCTTTAATAATTGTATTAAAACGAATATACCTTGTATATTTGAAATTACAATAACATTAAGCTTTCCTGCCTAAGCGTATAAAAGTTTAAGTTAATTAATTACTTCATTCTGTTCGCTAATATGCTCTGCAAAATGAATTAAATCTAAATAAAATATTTCCCTAAAACCTATTACAAAACACACTACCCACTGAATATTTCACACATTCAACACGTTAAGCGCCATGTCAGTTACCGATGATCGACGCTTTTGATTACTTGAAAGCAATCATAACACGCAATCTAACCAATATCAAATAAAAATGTTTAATAACGTAACTAATTTGACAATAATGTAATGCAAAGATCGCAACACCAAATAATTAATAATTGTCACTGCTTCTCTTCCCTACAAAAGAATAACTCTACAGAAAAACGATCAAGATTTTCATAGCGCTCAACGTGTTAATCCCATCATATATTCTACACAATAACCTGTCTTCTCACAAATGATAAGAACCCTCGGTCGACTCCTATTTCCAACTACACAAGCTCCCTCCAGAACCCGACCGATCTCGAGAAACATATCTCAACCGGATCCAAAGCACAACTCTTATCTTCGAGAATCTACAAACTCGTTGCATTTCAGAAAATGAACCCGATCGCCAGGCAATCGCCGCGAGAACGCGTAGATCAACCATGTGTATCCAGTAATCCTTATGGCCGTGGATACCGGGACATTCAGGTTCAACTCGTTTTGGACGATTTGCTAATCGCAGTCGGAAATTTATTTCCAACGCCTGGACCCCCGGCCGATCGTCGCTTCCTGCTGCCGATGCCGGTTGAAAAATCGTAAACAGCTCGCCGCTCGGGCTGTACCGTTAGCTCATAGTTCCGACGCAACATCTCGAATACGATTGCCTGCCTATTCAACGTATGTATACGTTCGTCCGTTGTAACGTACGTGCACGTGTACCGGCGCGGCGGCTACGCCACTTAAAATGCCTTCGCCGAGACCTGTTGGCATGCATCACACCAGCGCGCCGCAGC